TAGCTATGCTGCCAGTAGCCCCTAGGGCAGGGGTCGGCGAACGTTCGGCACGCGGCTCGCCAAGGTAAGCACCCTGGCGAGCCGCGTGCCGAACGTTGCCAACCCCTGCCCTAGGGTTTTGCCAGTGTAATTTATTCCATCAAACCACTCTCCTCCTCCTCTCCCCAAGTGAAATAAGCTGTATCAGTAAATGTTCAGTTTTGCTAGTATAAACTGTTCCCACACTAAGAACGCTTTTTCAGCATAGTGTACTGGTACAGCCATACCGATAAAGTGTAGACCTGGACTAAATATAGCTAGGGTTCTGCATCAGAACAGAAGATTCTAGGGAAAACACCTATATTAATTAAAACTGCTATAGGATGTTAATGTCCACTCAGGCAAACCTTGGTGTTTTTTAAGGATTCCTCCTACTAAGGAAGAAACTCCTCACGTTTTACCCATAACTCATTATACAGCTGGTTTAGCAGATGTATTTATTAAGAATGCCAGCAAGAAATAATTGAGAGCTCTACTTCTCTATAGGACTATTTATGAATTTTATTGAGTGTACTTTGAACACTAACATATTTACTTTATATTGTAGGTTGTGATAAAGTACCTTATAATTAACTTTCTGTGAGTTTAGCTGGGTATTCCCTCTGACCTGCAACATTCCTCCTAAACCAAAAGCAGCAGGAGCAAAATAGAAAAGTAACAGCAGTCAGAACCAACTTAAAAACATTCAACTGGGAAAACCAAACAGCAGGTCTTTAATTAATTTATTTAGAAAGTGATATTTTATCCCATGGTATATAAATTAATTAACTTCAAAAAAAAGTTTAAGCAACATAGTATCTTTGCTAGAAAACACGACCGTCTGGCCAGTTTGCTCTAAAGTCTTTTAAAATGTCCTCAGACAGTGTTCAGTGACTGCATGAGTCTCCACATTTTGTGTTAGTTTTGCTCTCACCAAAAAAATAAATATGAAAGAAATATGAAATACATTGTGGAAGATCTTGTATGAAGGGATTTGTTGTTGTTTTTTTAAAAAGTTTCATTTGAAATATATTGGATATTCTCAAGTCCCAGAACTGGATTGTGAAATTATTTACAACAATGTAGTTGCATTGGTGTAAATCCAGAACTGGGAGGCCAAATTCTGCTCTCAGTTATAGAACCTGATTTTGTAAACACTTGCACATGTATTTGTATTCATTTAGGTAGTTCTGTTGAAGGGAAGTTGCGTGCATAAATGTTTACATTATGAGGCCAATGGAGTGTAAGCTCTTAGGGGTATTTTAGACTGACTTTGTCCTTAAACGTTAAACATTGACACAATTCTTTTTTCTGCCAGCTGATCTGATAGCTGGTGTATTTGGGTGTGTTCATGGAAATTAAGTAGAATTCACAATGCAATTAGCTAAAAAGTGTGTGAGAAACACTTAATTGGCAAGACTTTTGTTCATCAAACCCCATCAGTTTAGGGTAGTTTTGTAGATGCTATTTTAACTGAACAGCAGCCGCATCACTATATAAATATGGCTAATTTTTAATTCTTTTAAAATAGCTGAATTTAAGCATTAATCCTCCTGAAAAACTTTTCAAGTAAAATATTGTTCATGTCTTATCAATATCTTATTAGCAGTTGTGTTTAGTGAAATTATGCAGGCATGTTATTGATTTGTATTAATCTAAAGAATGGGTACTACAGCAACCTTTTTCTAGTATGACAACTGAATGATCATACACATCTTATGATAGAGGGGATATGATAGAGGTCTATAAAATCATGACTGGTGTGGAGAAAGTAAATAAGAGTTATTTACAGTAACTTCTCATAACACACAAACTAGGGGTCCCAAATGAAATTAATAGGCAGCAGGTTTAAAACAGACAAAAGGAAGTATTTCTTCATACAACGCACAGTCAACCTGTGGAACTCCTTGCCAGAGCATGTTGTGAAGGCCAAAACTATAACAGGGTTAAAAAAAGAACTAGATAAGTTCATAGTGGATAGGTCCATCAATGTCTACTAGCCAGAATGGGCAGGGATGGTGTCCCTAGCCTCTGTTTCCCAGAAGCTGGGAATGAGCGACAGGGGATGGATCACTTGATGATTACCTGTTCTGTTCATTCCCTCTGGGGCACCTGGCACTGGCCACTGTCAGAAGACAGGATACTGAGCTAGATGGACCTTTGGTCTGACCCAGTATGGCTGTTCTTATGTTCTTACCTTTACTTTACTACTAAGCCTTAAAGTTAATAAATGGTACCATAAATTTAAATCTAAATGTCTAAAATTCACTTTTCTTATTTTGAAAGGTAAATGTTGGGAAAATGGATTCTCCCATTGAGAAATGGAACCTAATAATTGGCAATTTGGCCTTAAAACAGGTAAGTACAACTTACTCATTTTGGCATACTCTCACAAGAACAGGTACTTAAAGTGCCCAGCACAATTTTTGATGCTGACAATAGAAAAAGAGTTAAAGGATACAACACTGCAACACTCAATCAGTTCAGAGTTAACTTACTTCACTTTAATTTCTAATTTCTAATGGTAGTATATAGTCAGTTTCTAAAGTAACACAGACTTGCAGCAGAAATAGAGCAGTTTTATCAGTAAAAGGTATAGTACAGGTAACATTCATGTAAATTTTCCCATCCTGCCTTGTCAAATATATCTCATCTCTTTTTTTGAAAGAGATTATTTCTAGGGATGATTAAAAAATAGTTCCATCGCCAGTAAAGTCCATTTAATCTTGACCTCTCAAATGCTTTCTATACTGTACTTTCACAAGTTATAATATTTAAATAACTGTGAAGTGGCTGTTAGACAATAAATAGTATTAATGTGACTATAACATTTGAGAAAATGACTGTGTTTAAATCCAAAACAGCTGCTCCTTAACTAGATTTTGAATACCTGCTTCATATTTATACATTATAGTTAAATACTTACAGTGCTGAGAAGGTGTATAAAATATCTGTTTTGACTCATTTATTTAAGTATTAGATGTAGTCTCCCATTTGCCTTCAGACATAGCTTTGTTGTGTATGTCTTTTTAGGCTCCTGAGAATCCCCCAATTTTTTTTTGTTATTACTAGGGCTGTCGATTAATCGCAGTTAACTTACGCGATTAACTCAAAAAAGTTAATCACGATTAAAAAAATTAATCACGCTTCATCGCAGTTTTAATCGCACTGTTAAACATAGAATACTTATTGAAATGCATTAAATATTTTTGTATGTTTTTCTACATTTTTAAATATATTTATTTCAATTACAACACAGTATACAGAGTTGACAGTGCTCACTTTATATTATTATTATTTATTACAAATATTTGTACTGTAAAAATGGTAAACAAAAGAAATCGTATTTTTCAATTCACCTCATACACGTACTGTAGTGCAATCTTTTTATTGTGTAAGTGCAACTTACAAATGTAGACTTTTTTGTTACATAACTGCACTCAAAAACAAAACAATGTAAAACTTTAGCGCCTACAAGTCCACTCAGTCCTACTTCTTGTTCAGACAATCGTTCAGACAAACTAGTCTGTTTACATTTATGGGAGATAATGCTTCCTGTTTCTTATTTACAATGTCACCTGAAAGTGAGAAGAGGCGTTCGCATGGCACTTTCATATCTGGCATTGCAAAATATTTTCATGCCAGCTATGCTAAACATTTGTATGCCCCTTCATGCTTTGGCCACCGTTCCAGAGGACATGCTTCCATTCTGATGATGCTCGTTAAAAAAATAATGCATTAATTAAATTTGTGACTGAACTCTTTGAGGGAGAATTGTATGTCTCCTAACCCACATTCTGCCATATATTTCGTGTTATAGCAGTCTCGGATGATGACCCAGCACATGTTGTTCTTTTTAAGAATATTTTCACTGCAGATTTCACAAAACACAAAGAAGTTACCAATGTGAGATTTCTAAAGATAGCTACATCACTCAAAGAATCTGAAGCGCCTTCCAAAATCTGAGAGGGTCTAGGTGTAGAGCATGCTTTCAAAAGTCTTAAAAGAGCAACACTCCGATGCGGAAACCACACCCGAACTACCAAAAAAGAAAATCAACCTTCTGCTGATGGAATCTGACTCAGATGATGAAAATGAACTTGCTTCGATCTGCACTGCTTTGGATGGTTATCGACCAGAACCCATTATGAGCATGGATGCGTGTCCTTTGGAATGGTGATTGAAGCATGAAGGAACATATGAATCTTTAATGCATATCACACATAAAAATTTTGCGACGCCAGCTACAACAGTGCCATGTGAATGCCTGGTCTCACTTCAGGTGATATTGTGAACAAGAAGTGGGCAGCATTATCTCCTGCAAATGTAAACAAACTTGTTTGTCTGAGTGACTGGCTGAACAAGAAGTAGGACTGAGTGGACTTGTAGGCTCTAAAATTTTACATTTTTATTTTTGAATGCAGTTTTTTGTACATAATTCTACATTTGTAAGTTCAACTTTCATGATAAAGAGATTGCACTACAGTACTTTTATTAGGTGAATTGAAAAATACTATTTCTTTTGTTTCTTTTTTACAGTGCAAATATTTGTAATAAAAATAATATTATAAAGTGAGTACTGTACACTTTTTGTATTCTGTATCGTAATTGAAATCAATATATTTGAAAATGTAGAAAACATACAAAAATATTTAAATACATGGTATTCTTTTAATTGCTTGACAGCCCTAGTTATTACTTTCACCATCTTTGATGCATTGAATCATTGTTAAAGTCTTTCTTATTGAAGAAGAGTGAACAGTTCTTCCTTCAGACTCCATAAATTCTGCTTCTTAATCATCCAGGGAGATCACAATTGAGCTATACAAATTCTCCCTTTCCATAGTGGCTGAGCGTACTTCCTCTGATGCCTCCCAAACATGAGACACGAGAGCCAGGGAATGGTGGCAATTGGTTTATGTCTAACAATTATTTTAAGTTGGTGAAGTTTTCTGATATTAATGAACTTTTGTTTTACTCTCCTAGGTCCAGGCAACGGTCGTTGGTTTTCTAGCAGCAGTGGCAGCAGTCACACTGGGCTGGATTCCAGAAGGCAAATATCGCCTTGATCATTCAATCCTTTTGTGTTCTAGCAGTGTAGCAACTGCCTTCATAGCATCTCTTCTACAGGGTAAAAATATATTTGTAATGTTCTACAGTGACTGTTTTTCAGTAAATACGAAAAGTGTATATGTGTCACAATGTTACTTAAGATATAAATCCCAGTAGAGTACAATCTGTCTGAAGCAGACAGATGGCAGTTGGATACCCTTTGCACTTTTCATGCTAAAAACTAAAATCACAGTAATGAAATTGGATCAAAAAAAGAACCGAGGCATAGATTTTCCTGGATATCTCTTTTCCAAGATGTTTAATTTGTGGGGAAACAGCTGTGTTGAAATTTGCTTCCTCTGTTTATTATTGCTAAATTGGTTTTGAACTATGACCATAATTCTGGCCCACTTCTTCATTATACTTGCCCTTAGATTGTCATATTCTTTGAAGGAGTTTTAAATAAAACCTTACATCATATTCAATCACCCAGCTAGCACTTATACCTTTTATTGAATCTCTTAGTGAAACCATGTTTAAATTGAAGTTTGAAAAAGTATGGTGCTAATTGTGTCCACAGCAAAAGAAACATTTTAAAAACCAAATCCTAGGGGGCTTTAAGACAGATAGTGTGATGTGATATGTTATTCAATCACATGGCACTCCAGTCATGATTCTCTGTGAACAAAAAGGGTTGGTTTTAGATTCTAAGCTCTTAACAACATACACTGAGGTGGGTTTCCAGCAAAATGTCAAGACTGGAGCAGTTTTCTTAGACTTATATGCCACCTACAACACTGTATGGAGAAACAGCCTTTTCCTGAAAGCCAATACAATTATCCCATGCATTGTGACAATAATCTGCTTCAGAGAAGTTCTGATCAATCATAGGTTTCACATTTTCTTGGGTGACCCGTTCAGCAGACCACACATTCTCTATGATAGCCCACTATGGTGATCAGTCTTAGCGCTGATCCTGTTTAATATGTACCTTCCCCAAACATCATCACAGAAATTCGTCTGTGCTGATGACATTGCTCTAACTACATAGGCACAAGATTTATCTGTCAAAGAACAAATCCTAAATAAGGACCTGAATACCAGGAAAGAATATTGGTGGCTAAAACCAGACCCCACCAAGACTGTTGGGCCAGCACTTCATCTAAATAATCAAAAGGCCAGGGTGAAACTGCATGTGAACTTCTGTGGCCAGCAGATAACAAACAATACCATCCTGAAATATCTTGGTGTAACATTTGACCAAAGCCTCACATACATCCAGCACCTGAAAAATATTCATGACTAAATAAAGATGTGTGTAAATCTCATTAAGAAACTGGCAGGAATGACCTGGGAAGCTGTTGCAAAAACCCTATGGATCTCTTCACTGGCCCCTGTTTATTCTACCACAGAATACTGCTCAACCATATGGATACATAGCTTCCACGCTTCACTTGTCAACTTTCAGCACTGCCACTCGCAATATTGTGGCACAGTAAAATCAACACCACAACTGTGGCTTCCAGTTGTGGGGTACATCCAGCCCCCAAAATTTTTTGCGATGTGAGAATCCTTCAAAAATCGTATCATATTCAAGGGAGCAAGGATCTCCCAGTATATGAAGTCTTAAATAACATACCAAGATTCTGACTCAAATCCAGAAAACCCTTTTTTGGCTCGCAATGCAAGAGCTTAAAGATTCAGACTGAAATTCAATTGCAAGCAAGGTGGAAGGATGCCAAACTCCCGAGCAAATGTCTCATCAAGGACGCAACCAGAGAAAACCCAGTGGCTTTTCATTCCCATAGAAAATATGGTTCACTTTGAACCATAGCTGCATATCACAAAGGAGATGGGCCTATCTCCTTCATAAATGGGAACTGAGACACAATCGTACTTATGACTGTGGAACAGGGTGGATAAAAATCAATGATTTAAATAAAATGATTTTTTTTATTTAAATCGGATTTTTTTATTTAAATCAGATTTTTTTGATAAAATGCTTTTTCAGGAAAAAATCTATCTAAAGATAGATACATTATAGCTCAAAGATATCTCATCATGGAGTAGGGATTATAAATTCTAATTCTGTAGTATGAGACAATATATTCATGTAATGTTTAAGAAAAGTTTTGTAAATGAGTTCCAATAGTTCATGGATTAGGGACCCAATTTTGTGGGGTTTCAGGAGCTTCTGTATAGATTATTTAGTTTAATCTTTCTATCTACCCAATGGGACTCAGTGCTCAGTCTAGAGGATACCATCAGAGATGCTTAGTTTTGCAGTTCTCAAACTGAGGATTTGTGTCTCCAGAGATAACATGCTTGTTAACAGCAGAAATGTTTTTAAATAAATAAATAAATAAATAATATACAGAGGTGAGAAATAACAGACCTCAACCCTATTGTCCCTCTACACAGAGTCAATCCCTTACCTCTCTCTAAAAGTGCAAAGTTTCAAAAAGTTCAATGAATAGAAGATTGTTGGGGGCGGAATAGATCTGGACAAGGAGAAGAAGTCTGGAGATAAATGTGAGAAGGGAGGGACAGGCAGTACAAACAAAAGTGAAACTGTTTGAGCAGCATATTCCAGAAGTCTTGAGGTCTTTCTGAGTGTAGCCTTCATTGATTTGAGATCTACCATACCATTCTCTCACCAGAAGGGAAAATCTATTATGGCAGCAGGCTGTAAAAGAGACCCAGTTTGGGAATATTTTAATGAAGTTCCTCTACCTGTGGGTAAGACAGGCATGCGTGCAAAATGCAAACTGTGCAACAAAGAAATGCAAGGCCTGATTGCCCAAATGAAACAACATCATGAGAAGTGTTCCTTCTCAGGAGGAAGCTGCATTGAAGATGATTAAAGGAACATGTCTGAACATGCAGGATCTTCAGGTTGGTAAACTTTTTTATTTCATACTTCTCTCTTAAGGACTGCCTGTCTTCCTTCTGGACTATTCTTGAATTCAAATGTTTGAGCAAAAAATATAGTTTTTACTCTATGGTACTATCATTTTAGATGCAGTTGTGGTAAAAAATAAATAGCTGAAATAGGCAGATCTTCCTGTTACAATTTCACCTTTAAAGTAGTACTGAGTGTCAGTGAATGCAATGAGTAATACTAAATGAGCAGTACAGTAATAATAATTAAATAACTGCATTGACTTATTTTGTTTAGGAGAATCCATCCTCAACATACAGGATTCTGAAGACTATCCACCTTCAAGATCACTATCATTTTCTATAGTTTCAGAGTTATCTGCCAATGATAGTGTTTCAGTCACATCATGTATGTGAGATAGCCACAGTATATCACCTGTAGCAAAAAAAAAAAAAAATACTCCATCATCGAGAAACAACCATAGATAAATTTGCGATAAGAACCAGCAGATTACAAAAAGAAGGTAATTGATGAAAAAATTAGCCCGGTTTGTTTAT